CGGCAAAAAAGCCAGAGCCGGCCCTGCCTCAAGTCTTCATTTGACTTGCAGCACCTGTTCAGTTGTCCCACTCATGAAAATGGCCATTCATTTTACTTGATCTTGCCCAAGCACCGCTCTCTCTCTGATCTTCTGTTACTGTGTTCCCCTTCTCCGACCATTGTCTGATCTCTTTCAGCATCACCCCATCAGTCCCCCTGCTCCCCACATCCTGTCACTCAGTCTTTCTGTGACATCCAGGCCATCAGTGTGGATAACTTCTCACCTGCTCTCAGCCCTCTTTTCTTTCTTCCTTTGATGGGTTTTTTATTCTCTCCATGCTTCACTCTCCTCCACCCTTGACTGTTTTGCCCCTTTCTCCCATCACAAGCTCTCCCCAGCCCACCCCCAATATCCGTTTCCTGCGCTCACACTGCAGAGCATCTCTGGTGGAAATCCTGTGACCGGGCTGACTTCCTTCCTTGCAAATTAGTTCTCTCCTCCTTCAGTTCTGCCATCTTCCTAGTAAACAACTTCAACTTAAGTGAATTTCACTCCCACAGTCTCAGCTGCCTTTCTGCCACCTTTGACTCATTCCTCAAACCCTCCCCTCCTCCTGCCTTCATTTCTGTCTCTGCACAGGATCTTGCTGATTTCTCTCCAGAGAAAATACAATGTGACCTTCCCCCTACCCTCAGCTTCCCTTCCCTAGTACAACTCTCCTCCTCCCCTGTCACAGATGCAGCTCTCTAGCTCCTACTCCTCTATTTGCCCCATGAACCCATCCCACACCATTTCCTGATCACTCTCATGCCCGCTCTCATCCTCTCCCTTAATCTTCTCCTTAACCTCTCACTTTTTTCTGGTTCTTTCCAAGCATGTTTTAATCTCTCCCATCTTAAAAAATAACCAATCTTGACCCCACTTCCATCTCCAGCTACCTCTTCCCCTTTCATCTTTAAGCTCATTGAATATGCTGTCTACAATCACTGTCTGGAGTTCCTTTCCAATTCCATCCTCGATTCTCTCCAATCTGGCTTCTGCCCACTGCATTCCACTGAAACCGCTCTCACCAAAGTCTCGAATTATCTTTTTCTAGACAAGTCTCAGAATCAGTACTCCATCCTCATCCTCCTTGGCCTGTCAGCTGTCTTCAGCACTAATGATGTGGGGTTCATTAAATAACAAACCAGTGAATGAGAAAGAAATAAAACTTTAGTAAAACAAACTGGAGAGCGTCTCGAATAAACTGCTGCACACAGCCATGCAGTGTTCCCAATCCCCACCTCCAGGGCACATGTCCAAATTCCTATGTTCATAATCTTGTCACTTATGAGGGAATATCTCTAAATTATAGTCTTCTACAAACATATTTCTACATCTTCCATCTTAAAGAAAAACAAATTAACTCTTATATACATATATATAAACAGCTAACAACTATCTAATAACACATGCATTAAATTTTCTACCCATGTTGTGCATTTCCGTAAACTCAATGTGTCAACTACCTAGAGAGGAGAGGTTACAAGCACATCACTCTGGAGTGTCTTTACCACTCATTTCCCTCAAATACCCCTTCTCCAGGCAGGTTAGCAAGTGTCTATGAGTCTTTCAGGATGCTTAATCTCCACTCTCATCTTCTCAGTATCACCCTTTCAGTAGAGTCTGACTAGAGTCTTGTTCCTTGACAGTTTCTCCTTTGTGTGTTGATAATAAAGGATCAGTCAGATGGGAAATACCAGAGTGCACATGTACTGTCAATGTGTTGGTACTTTCTAGGATTACTCAGAGATCCCTTATATTACATCGAAATGTGTCCCCCGTTCTGTCTGGACTACATACGACCTTGGATACAGCTGTTCTTTAATGGTACCCATTTGTCCCCAAATATTAGATGTGTGATTCCTCAGGCACACTCTATCACCTGGGTTAAGAGATGGGAGATCACAGGTCCTTTTGTCAAAATAATATTTCTGCTTCCACTTCTGATTTTCTTTCATCTTCCATATAGTTTAATTGTTATGAGATTTCAGCAAGTTATCAGTAATTGGTAAATTAGATTTGATCCTTCTTCCCATTAACAGCTGCGCTTGAGAAGAATCATTCTCCAGGGTTGCACTTTGGTAAACCAGTAACACTTTCTACAAATCACCCCCGCTGTTAAAAGTCTTTTTCATAAGGTTCTTTACTGTCCATATAGACCTTTCCACAAATCCATTTGATTGGGGGGCAATTTGGGCTTGATGTTTGTGATGAAAATCCCAATCTATTGCAAATTGCCTAAAATCTGCACTAGAAAATTGTGCCTCATTATCAGTAAAGACTTCATCTGGAATTCCATGTGTGGAGAAGATTCCCTTCACACTGGCTGTCACTTACTTACTATTAGTGCTGTGCAGTGTGCAAATCTCTGGATACAGAGAATAATAATCTGTGACTATTAAATAATCCTTTGATTGCCAGGTGAATAAGTCAGTGCCTACCATTTCATAAGGCCTTTGTGGAACTGGATGGAGTCTCTGTGGCTCTGCTTCTTGGCATGGCTTGTATTTCAAGCATGAAAAGCAGTTTCCTACCATATTAGCGATGTCGTGATTGATCTGCAGCCAATACAGCACCTCTCGTGCTTGTTGTTTACACTGTCTTCTTCTATCCAAATTAAAATCTCAGCCCATCTCTCTAACATCTGCTCATGGATGTCTAGCCATTAGCTAAAATACTGTGGAAAGGGATCTGGGGGTCATAGTGGAACACAACATAAATATGAGTCAACAGTGTAACGCTGTTGCAAAAAAAAAAGCAAACATCATTCTGGGATGTATTAGCAGGTGTATTGTAAGCAAGACACGAGAAATAATTCTTCCGCTGATTAGGCCTCAATTGGAGTATTGTGTCCAGTTCTGGGCGCCACATTTCGGGAAAGATGTGGACAAATTGAAGAAAGTCCAGAGAAGAGCAACAAAAATGATTAAAGGTCTAGAAAACATGACCTATGAGGGAAGATTGAAAAAATTGGGTTTGTTTTAGTCTGGAGAAGAGACGACATAACAGTTTTCAAGTACATAAAAGATTGTTACAAGGAGGAGGGAGAAAAATTGTTCTTCTTAACCTCTGAGGATAGGACAAGAAGCAATGGGCTTAAATTGCAGCAAGGGCGGTTTAGATTGGACATTAGGAAAAACTTCATAACTGTC